ACATTTCCAATCTACCCAGACGTCACCTGCAGATATCACCATATCTGCGCAGGTTTGGCTACAGACGACAATCTTCTAGACACTCTTGCAGCTGCCCGGCCTGCCACCTCATTTCTAGACCATCCACGCCCTTGCCCGTCTCGTGTCAATCCGTAATGCCGCAGCCAAGACGTCCTCCACCAAAACCCCAAAATCACCGCCGCAGCACCCCTACCAAGACCAGCCCGCAGCAGCACAGAGTACCTTACATCCTACATCATTCTGCCTCCAACTATCCCACCACGCTGCATAGCCGCGCCTCGATTTAGCTCCCTATCGTCTGCCTCAACACCCCTCCCCCCCCCCCCCCCCCCCCTGGTTTCATATTTCGCCCTCCGCCCCTTACCACCACCCGCTTTTACTTGGATACCCGGCCGACCGCTGCGCGCTGCGCGACCAACCTTCCTCGCCTCTTGACCCCGACACGCTGAACCCGATTGCGTTCAGCACTCTGGCGCCAACATCGGCAGTCGCCCTTGCTCATTCGCTTCCACGCTTGGACTTCAAACCAAGGCCGCCCTTGTAACGACCCCGCGCTTCTGCTACCTCGTTAGCATTCTGCCACGACCAATCTTGCCATCGTCAACCGCAACCACCATTCTTCCCCCACATGCCTCATTTCTCCGGATGAAAATCACAATATGGGCATTGTTAGCAGTAGGCCCGACGATGGGGCCTCTCTCTATTTGAGAGACCAGAACCGACGTGCGTTCCCCCTTTGCGAGCACCGTCCCCCTTCCCCCCAAAGTGCTGCCTACAGGTACATGCGCAGGTTCGCACTGACATGCGCTGACCATTCTGCCGCCTTGCAGTGTCCATATCTTCGATCGTTGTAACGAACCCGCGAACGCGAAACACGGTCAACATCGCACCCAATGCATTTCCAGCTTCCAGAATCGTCGCTTCTCGGCCGGCCGGCGAGAGTACTCCTATAGAATTCGTACAGGTGCGCACCCTCGCATTGTGACCCGAGTCGCAACGAAGACCAACCGCTGACATTGGCTCCTGCAGGATCTCGAGTCCGCCGTCCCTGGCGGCCCTCCCAACTTTATCCTTAAACTGAGTAGCGACGAGGAGCTCATCTTTACGTTCACCTTTGTCATCCGCCAGTCCGAGGCGGGCGTCGCCCAACCCACGAATGGTGTTGCCGAGGTACACCCACCCGTCGAGACCCAGATCACCGGCCTCACATATGTCTACGCCTCGTCTCCGCGCGAAGTAGAGAACCTTGTCACCCGCGAATTCCATGCCGACCCCAATCTGCACAAGAATGCCAACGTCGAGCTCGTGGGCGACTTCACCACTGGTGGCAGTCCCTCCGTCGCCTTTGACTGGACGTGGAAGTGGAAGCCGCCGAAGAACATGGAGGATAGAGGTGGTGGATGGAGGAACTCTTGCAGCGTGGGTTGCCACCCTGAGTGGTGCATTCTGAGCCATCCATGCTGACATGGTCCAACAGTTTGTCGAGTACGATTCGCGCGCACACTGCCTACACACTTTGGCTAGTTTTTCCTACTGGGTATCAAGTGAGTTGGACAGACCATTTTCTTCATGTGCCGTCGGTACTGAACCTTCAGCAGATACAACCACACCACTTAGCCACCCCAACTCTCCATCTCCGCCCTTTCACCTGGCGCCGCCTCCCAAGCACCGCGTTGCCTCCTCACAATCTGTCGAATCCCGAAGCAGCCACGCAGACTTGGAAGAACCCGCCTCGCCATTGTACTCTGTACCTACTACGATCCAGACTCCTCTGCCACACCAAGTGCCTCCCCAACCCGAGCCAGTTAAGGTAGATGTGGTATGCCCGAAACCTGGCGACGATATGACAGTCACGGATGATGGTCCCGTCTTCCGCGCCACTATCAAGGCACTTGAGCAGAAAACAGGCAACATGCGTATGCAGGTCAAGCGCGTGCTGAAGAAAGCCGAGAGCGCATACGAAGCCCAGACCGACGCGAATGACAAGTTCGCCTCATTTTTAGAAGCCTTGAAGGAGGCATCGGCAACGAACGCGAATGCCGTGCAGCCCGCCATTGACCACTACTTTGACAAGATCGCGCAGGAAATTATGGCCTATGAACGCAGGAATACTCTCAACCTGCAAAAGATCGTCATCGAGCCGCTCAGCAAAGTATACACTTTTGACATCAAACGGGCCGAAGACAAGAAGAGAGACTTTGAGGAAGAAAGTAAAGATTATTATGCCTACCTGGCTCGCTATCTCGGCCAACGACATGACTCGGTCAAGGCTAAGAAGTTGGCCGAGAGCGACACCAAGTACCAGACCAAGAGACGAACGTTTGAGCTCAAGCGCTTCGACTATTCCAGCTTCATGCAGGACTTGCATGGTGGGCGGAAAGAGCAAGAGGTTCTCTCACATCTCACACGATATGCAGATGCACAGGCTCGAGGCTTTCTTGGCGCAGCCAGGAAGATTGACACACTGCTCCCACAGCTGGAGGCCCTGTCAAACGAAGTCAGCGAAGCCGACAAAGAGTTTCAATACCAACGCCGTGAACGAGAAGAGAAGAGGAGACTGTTGGAAAAGAGCAACGCAGATACGGATTTGCCTCCTGCAACCGCGAACAACACGTATAGCACCTCCTCCAACGGCCAGGCAACCTCTACCTCAGACTCTGAACTCGGACGCGCAGATAGTACTGGCTCACAGCTCAAGTCCGCCATATCTGGTGGTTCTCAGGGAGCGGTGGCATCTCCCGAACTGTCCAGGTCTCCGGGCAGTCTCGGACAATCCTCCATCGGAAGCCCAGCTGCTACGTCCAAGTTCAAAGGCATTCGGGATCTCGAGGAGCGCGACCACGTGCAGATAGCCAATGCTGAGAGACATAACGCGCAGCGCAAGGAGGGACTTTTGTGGGCATTGAGCAGGCCTACCAGCCACGTGGACCCGCGTAACCTCAACAAGCCTGGCTGGCACAAGTGAGTTATCAACGATACCGCTGTCATGCGTCTCTGTTAACCAAGGCGACAGGTTCTGGATCGTCCTCGATCAAGGAAAGCTCTCCGAGTACAGCAACTGGAAACAAAGACTCGACCTGCACATGGACCCTATTGACCTCCGGATGGCGTCTGTGCGAGAAGCACGCAATGCTGAGCGCCGATTCTGCTTCGAGGTGATAACACCACACAACAAGCGAGTCTACCAAGCAACTTCCGAGGAAGACATGAACAGCTGGATTTTGTCCATCAACAACGCACTGCAAAGTGCAGTCGAAGGCCGAATGGGCGACAGATCAGGGCCGGCGCCGTCCTCGAGCGATTCAAGTTCTTTCAAGCGCGATATTGGGTCTGTTTTGACAGGCAAAAGCCCGTCTCTGGGCCATGGCAGTTACAATCCGAATGCAAACTCGAACAGTGGCATGCCTGCTCGTCGCATAACGGTCGGCGCCAAGCCCAGTATTCCCCGAGCTCCCAGCGGCAGTTACGACGATACTCCCGATAAGCTCTTGCAAATGCTTCGAGACAACGACCAAGGCAACTGCTGGTGTTCCGACTGTGGATCTGGCGCCAAGGTCGAATGGGTTTCCATCAATCTTGCCATAATCCTTTGCATCGAGTGCAGCGGCATCCATCGGTCGCTCGGCACTCACATCAGCAAAGTACGGTCTCTCACGCTTGACATCACGTCATTCACCGCCGATATTGTAGAGCTGCTCATGCTCGTCGGCAATCGCGTCGCAAATATGATTTGGGAGGCGAAGCTTGATGCTTCCATCAAGCCCGGGCCGCAGGCGACACGTGAACAGCGACTGCGCTTCATCACAGCGAAGTACGTTGACCGAGCCTATGTTGAGCCGATATCCACAACATTGTCGCGTTACTCGACGCCAGACGAGACTTTGCTGGCAGGTATCAAGAAGAACGAGGTTCAACAAGTCATCTATGCTATGGCTCTCAAGGCAAACCCCAACGCCACCGATAAGTCGAGAGGCACACATGCCGTGTTCCTCGCCCTGGCAGCCGCGGACCCAGCGTCTCCTTCGGCAGTTGGAGGCCAACAGCCCGAACCCGAGAAGCCGGTACCGTTCCCCGTGGCGGAGATGCTCGTGCAGAACGGCGCCGAGATTCCAACTACGATGCCAGCCTTCCCGCTCAGCCGCAGCGCACAGTTGTATGTCGAGCAGAAACGAGGGCGGTCGGTTGGCATTGCTCGGGATAGCATTGGTTCTTTGCGACCAAGCCAAAACGCGGGCGAGAAGATTCAACAAGACATGGAATCAAGGCTACACAAACGCATGAGCGCGGGCGGCCGCCTGGCGAAGAGTCCGATCCCGGAGAGGTAGCGGTCTCGTCGTGTGGATCGGAAACTGGCGACTGCTGAGTGCATGCCGATGCTGTGGCAGTTGCGGCGGATAGGATCTTCGCTCGTTGTGGAGTTGTCCGACGACGCGTCATGAGAAGTTCTAATTGGTACCCTGGAGAAGGACACAGAGCTAGGGAGGCAAGAGTCTTGTTTGGCAAGTGCAAGGGTGACAGATACCCGTGGAGGGCGCCTGTGTTAGTTTATCGGCGGCATGTTGCTTTTTGGAAACTTGACCACCACCATGGTTCACGAATGGATACGAGAGGTCAGGCATCATGAGGCCTATTTCTTCTTTTTCTCTTGTTCTTTTCTTTTCCTTGAGCAATACGTCAGGCACTTGCGGGGGACCTTGTTACCCACGACGATCGAGTGGGGTGGTGAGGTCTGGATTGGAAAGGCGATGGGCGGGCGGGCAGACGGCTGAGGGGGGAGTTGGTGTGTATGGATAGATACTGCCTAATGGTAATGATACGAACAGTGAAATGCCATCTTAGCACCAGAAAGAAGAGGCCTCGTTCTGCGCCTCCAGTTCGACCCTTGAATCCCGGGTCTGGTGCAGTCTGGTGCGTATGACGGATCATCACGAAGGAGCAATTCCTAATGTGGTCCCTGGCGTTGCAGGAATCGGTGCGCCACACCACAGCCACGAGGAGGCCATGCGGACACAGCACAAGACCCACAAACAACATGGGTGCGTCCCAAGGTTAGGTAGGCCCTGCTTGGTTCCCTCCCTCTAGTACTTTGTGGCAACGGGAATACAGATGGGCTGTATGCATCAACGATCTGCTTCGCTTCAGACAAGGTTGTGCGGCAAACTTGTCGACTGTGCGTGTGTGCCAGGCGTGGGGCACGCGTGATGGCATGTCTTGCTTCACGACAGCAGTACCGGCCGCCAGGTGGGGGACTTCACACGGGATGATGTGGGCGAGTCAGGGCGACACAGCAGGTGAGAGGGTGGATGGTCACCGTGAGCTACCTAGCCGGGGATGGGGAGCAGACCGCCCCAAACAGCGAGTTTTGCGTTCGAGGACGCCGGATGAGTGAAGTGAGTGAGTGTTCTGCGTCATCTGCGCAGGCGGCAGGCTGCAGCGGCTGCTGCATGTGAGGTGGGTTCCAGTCGCCACCCTGCGCCTGGTCTGCCCCCGGACTGGGTGCCGCCGAGAAGAGAGTGAGAAGAGACGAGGAGGGAGGAAGAGGCAGATGGCGGCGGTGAATTTCAAGCGTTGGGTGGTCGGTGACGCCAGAAATAGGTGGGTGGACTGGGCTGGCTGACTTGCAGGCTGTTGGCGAGCTCGGATTCCAGGTAGGTCGCTGCTCCTGCCCCGGTTTTGGATACCGAGGGGTGGAATCGAGCTGGGAGGCCGCTGTGCTCCCTACTAGGTAGCTACGCAGCTACGGTACCTCGCAGGCCTGGCTAGGTAGCTGGGTACATGCACCAGCCTGGGCTGTGGTGACTTGAACGAGTGACAGCATCAGCCATCTGGTCCCTCTCAGCCGGATCATTGGATCAGCCGTTCTCTAGCCCAGTGCGCAACCAATAAAAAGCTGCGCATGCTCCTGAGCCCCCCTGTGCCTGCCTGGCGCACTAGAGCGGGCAATCCCCAGTAGTGACCCATCCTCAAAAGCACTTACCCATCCAGATCCAGTCGGCAACTCTCAGTCACGGTCCAGGCTGCTATCCTCTTTCGATCCAGCTTCACGCAAATCACAGCCGCCGGATTTCCATCTCTGCACACCAGGCAACACTGCGCAATCTACGCACTTCTCTATAATATTATCCAACACAACTGGAGCGCGCATAACTAGGCATCGCCATTACGAACCCCCCCCCCCCAGTCTGTCCGAGTCTAGACGTGCGTGAGCAAGCACGAGCCGGCTGCTCCATTCACAGCTCCCCTTCTCGGCGGTAGCCCTGCCTGTTCTGCCTGGCCTGGTCTGGCTGTGCCCCAACGTCACCTCACGGATTCGCGTCATCCCACACCCTTTACCTTGCACAGGAGTCATCGCGCTCCAGCCGCTGCCATGGCGCCCCGTGAGAAGAGCCAATTGAAGCGTCTTCGAGTGAGTCTGCTTCTCGCCCCTGCCCACCACTGCTGGTCCGTTCTTAACCGTGCTCTCCGCCTCCAGGGTTCGCTGCCAGACAACGAGACAGAGTCCAAGAAACCTCGACGCTCCGAGAGGCTCTCCGTCAACGACCCAGACAAGACGCCCGTTTCGCACAAAGGCCATCTCCCCTCCCCCGTCACCCACACCACCGAGCCGGACGCCAACGACCGCCACAAGTCGCCGACCGCCACGCCGCCGGAAGGCCGCCCCAGCCAGGTGAACCCGCGCGAGGAGACCCCGGTCCAGGCCAACATCCTGTCGTCACCGCCGCAAGACACACAGGCCTTCTCGCAGTACCCGCCCGAGACCAAGGACAGCCTGTCGGACGATGTAGAGGACGAGGTGAAGGAGGGCGTGTGGGGCTACCTGTTCCCCCTCGATACCAAGTATGGCCGATCGCTGGTCATGAAGAAGCGGACGGCGTGCCCCATGCCCGACACGGTGGCGGACAAGGTGTCAGATGAGGATCGGAAGGGCAAGTCACCTGCGCGCAAAGAGGAGGAGGCCTACGAGAAGACCAAGATCAAGGGTATCGCGTCAGGAGGCTACCTGATCGGCCGGCACCCTGAGTGTGGTGAGTGCTGCGCCCCCCCTGCGCTGAGTTCGAGAAAGTGCATGCTTCCTGACTGCCATAGATATTGTCATTGATGACCCGATCGTGTCCAACCGCCACTGTCTTCTCTTCATAGAGAACAAGGGCGGCGACACGGTGGCCATTGTCGAAGATCTGTCCAGCAACGGCACCTTTGTCAACGAGGCTATTGTCGGCAGAAACCAGAGGAGAGAACTCCGCGAACAGGATGAGATTGCTGTCCTTGACAAAGCCCGCTTCATCTTCAGATATCCGAAGAGTCGGCAGACGAGCCCTTTCCACCAGTCTTACACACTGCTGCAGAAGCTGGGCAAAGGTCACTTTGCCGAGGTGTTCCTTTGCGTCGAGAAGTCCACGGGTCAACAGTACGCCGTCAAGGTCTTCAGCAAAACACCAGGCATGGAAGAACGTTCGAAGCAGGAGGGGCTCCAACAAGAAATAGCAGTTCTCATGGGAGTCAGTCACCCGAACGTTCTCTGCCTCAAGGATACGTTCAACGAGCGTAATGCGGTCTATCTCGTTTTGGAGCTGGCGCCCGAGGGTGAGCTGTTCAACTTTATCGTTATGAAGCAAAATGTTTCTGAGGATGAGACGCGGAAGCTTTTCAAGCAGCTGTTCCAGGGGATCAAGTACTTGGTATGCACCACCCCTCTACGCTCTAGGCACCAAGGTATCACTAACGAGAGCAGCATGAGCGGAACATTGTTCATCGAGACATTAAGCCTGAAAACATTCTCATGGTGGACAAGGAGCTCCACGTCAAGCTTGCCGACTTTGGTCTCGCCAAGATTATTGGTGAAGAGTCGTTTACCACGACTCTCTGTGGCACACCTAGCTACGTCGCACCAGAGATCCTTGCCGATTCGAAGCAAAGAAAGTACACCAAGGCTGTCGATATCTGGTCGCTTGGCGTGGTATTGTATATTTGTCTGTGCGGCTTCCCGCCATTCTCAGATGAGTTATTTTCTAAGGAGTTCCCGTACACTCTTTCCCAGCAGATCAAGAGCGGACGTTTCGACTATCCCTCGCCTTACTGGGACTCTGTCGGCGACCCAGCACGTGAGTTATCCTAGTTGAGCAGGAAAGCTTTTGTGGCTAATTCACAACGCAGTCGATCTCATTGACTCGATGCTGGTCGTCAATGTCGAGCGCAGGTTCACCATCGATCAATGCCTGTCTCACCCCTGGCTGACACAGGGTACGCCTGCCGTCAACGATAGTACCGATGGCCTGGTGGGCGGCATCAGGGGCCTGGAGGTCCATCGCCGTGGAGTTGTTCGGGAGCGAACACTGCTGAGCTCGCTGAACTCGGTCGAAGTCACGGCCAAGATTCCAGCGAATAAGCATTCGAACCACGTCAAGGTCTTCGCAAAGAATGCCCACAAGGCTAAGGCGGCGGCGAAAGAATCCGGTCCTGCTCATAACCGAGGCGCTGGTGAGTTCATGGAGATGGGCGGCAAAGGCGACCAAGACCTTTTCGCGAACGACGGTAACAGTGTCTACTCCAAAACAGAACTAGCGAGTGACAAGACGAAGAACAAGAGTCGGCAATGAGTGGGGACGGCGTCTCGTATAGTTTGAATATCGGTAATATTGGGATTCCCCTTTCAGCGTCACAATTATTCTGCCTCTTGGTATGAGGGTGTAGGGAGCCTTTGGCATGGCGACACTCATGGATTTGGAGCTGGCTGGGGGTGAGTGAGGACGGGGATACTTTGGCGCCAGTGTGTTGCTACAAAAGTTCAAGGCGTTGTTCTTCTTGGCTTGATATGTGTAGCCTAATACCTGCTTGTTACTAGACATCCTTAGACATCCTTATGACCCCAGCAGGTGGGAACAAATTCTGGAAGCTGTCTCGCCGATGAACCAACATGCGATCTCGTGGTGCAGGAGAGTTGAGGTGACAGGCTCGCCAGCTCTGACCAGGGATGCCCGAAGAATTGCCGGGCGGCACACCGTGCCCCACGACCACGCAGCCAGGCGACGCCAGGACAGGGGAAAGTTCGAGGCTGAGTCAGCATGTGCCCCTCCTCGCGCACAAAAAAATGGCAAGCAGTGGGGTCGACCCGATGTGCCATAATCAAACGACAGACGAGCCAGCGGTTGACGACGACAACAACGCAAACGAGAGAAACCTCGCGCCCCTCCAAACACCACATCGGAACGGAACGGCAACAGGCGACCCAATATGGCGGCTGGATTGACTACCCAGAATGCGCAGCCGCAGCTGCTGTTCGTGGACGGCACCTTCCCCGAGCTGGCTGGCGAGATGGCAGACTACCTCCACATCGCCGACGAGGTCAAGCCCCTGCTGGAGGACGAGTCGAAGAAGGATGAGGCCCTCGCCAAGCTTGTGCGCTCCTCCTCGGCTCTGACCTCTGTCCCCGAGAAGGAGTTCACCGCCGCGTCCAACCTCATGATCCACCTCGTCATGCAGTCCAACGAGCCCAAGAAGCACCTGCCCGCGCTGTGCCAGGCCTTCAGCAAGCCCATCGCCACGTCGCCCATCAACGGCGTCGGCCTGAGCCTCAACGCCCTGACGACCGTGTTCAACCTCATCGACCCCAAGAACCCGATTCGCTTCAACGTCTTCTCAGCCATTCTCAAGTTCCTCAAGGCACACGGCATGTTCGACACGATCGAGCCCTACCTCAAGCACATTCCCACCTGGTTTGATGACTGGAACACGGGCGAGGAGTACCAGCGGAATATGTATGTCGACATTTCTGAGGTTGCGGCCGAGGCAGGCCAGGACGAGTGAGTAGTTTTCCCCCTATCCTTCTTTTTTTTTGCTTTTTGGAGGAGTCCCTAACCGCGGTCCTTCGCACATCAGACAGAGCTACGAGTACCTTCTCAAGGCCCTGCGCACGTTCGACGCCGACGACAAGGAGGAGCTCGCCTCCGAGGAGGCTCAGGAGCTGTCGCTGCGCGCCGTCAAGGAGGCCCTCCTGTCGCCCACGCACCTCCTCTTCACCGATGTCCGCAGCATACCCAGTGTCCAGAACCTCAGCGAGACGCACCCCGTGTGGTCGCAGCTGCTGGACATTTTCGCCGAGCAGGACCTCGAGGACTACAACGACTTCAACGACGAGCACGAGGGCTTCGTCGAGAAGGAGGAGCTCGACGGCGACCGCCTGCTCCGCAAGATGCGTCTCCTCACATTCGCCAGCCTCGCGGCGCAGACGACGAGCCGCCGCATCGAGTACGCGTCCATCGCCAAGGCGCTGCAGGTGCCGTCCGAGGACGTGGAGCTGTGGGCCATTGACATTATCCGCGCCGGCCTCGTCGAGGGCCGCCTCTCGCAGCAGGAGAAGGTCTTCCTCGTGCACAAGGTCACGTACCGCGTCTTCGGCACGAGGCAGTGGCAGGAGCTCGCCACGCGTCTCGACTCGTGGCGCAACACGCTCACGGGGCTCAACGAGGTGCTTCGCAAGGAGGAGGCCAACGCCAAGGCTCAGAAGGAGCGCGAGGTGCAGGAGCTCGAGCGCAAGCTCCAGGGCGCCGGCCTCGAGGGCGGCAGTGGCGGTGGCGCCGGTGGACGGCAGCGCGGCGGCAACCAGGGCCGCCGGGACAACAGGGAGCGTGAGCCCAGGGAGCCCAAGGAGCCCCGGGAACCGAAGCTGAGGACGGACGACGACGACTGAACTGGGAGACTCGGATCAGGGAAAACATGACTAGGAAAGGGGGGGAAGGGGACAAGCCGTTTGTGTGATAATTACAGGACGGGGAAAGAAAGGGCGGGAATTAGGTTTTCCGGGGCCCGCGTGGTTACTAGAAGCCCCGCGAGGCGTGGCTCGGACATGATGACTGCATGGCGGGTCATGACTGGCTTTACAGGGAATCCAATGAATCGGCGTACCATGGTTACTTGTGAGGGGTGTGCTTTCGGTGTGTTTGGTGAAGACAGAAATGTCTACATGTGTTTTGAGTCTGGCGTGAGGCTTCCCACGGCCGTCCGGGTCACCTAGCTTCAGCAGGGTGCAAGTGCGACGGCGAGAGGATGTGTTGAAAATATAATTATAAATGTATGAAAAGGCTTGGCCACTCAGGCCTGTCGAGTGTTGATACACATACAAAGGAGAGTACGCCCAAAGGAGGCGGCGTATTTTTTTTCTAGGTCTTTGTTTTCTTTCTCGGCGTGGCCTGGAAGGGCCGGCCAGAAAACGACGCTCCCGCAGCTATCCGCCCATCATTTCTATCCTTCTATCCCACGCGCACAATCAAAAACGAGATCCACCGTCCCCATGCCGTACGTCCAGGAGAACAATCTGGGTGATGGCACGGGGTGTGGTGAGGGCCATTATTCAATGTCCTCGAGAGACGGGCCGCTCAAAAGTTGCTGAGCCTGGCCTTGAGCTGCGTCTTGGTGACCTCGTAGACGTCCTCGGGGGTGGAGGTGGCGTCGATCTTGATGACGCGGCCCTCCTGGGCAAAGTAGTCGACGACGGGCATGCTCGTCTCGACAAAGGTGCGGAAGCGCTTGCGGATGCTCTCGGCATTGTCGTCGGCGCGGCCGCTCGTCTTGCCGCGCTCGAGCAGGCGGGCCTCCATGGTGGCCTCGGGGCAGTCGTAGAAGAGGACGAGCTTGGCGGGGCAGACGGCGGCCTCGAACTTGACGGCCTGGTCCATCTTGCGCGGGAAGCCGTCGATGAGGAAGCGGTGCTCCGCGGCGCCGGGGCCGGCGGCGTCAATGGTCGCCTGCATGGCGTTCTCGAGCAGCTGCACCGTCACCTCCATGGGCACGATGAGGCCGTCCTTGATGTAGTCCTTGATGAGCTGGCCGAACTGCGAGCCGGGGCGGTCCTGCTCGGCGCGCAGCAGGTCGCCGGCCGAGAGGTGGGTGAAGCCGTGGTGCTTGACGAGGTTGGCGCACTGCGTGCCCTTGCCGGCGCCGGGCCCGCCGAGGACGAAGAGGACGGTCGTCGTCTTGGGGGAGAAGGTCGGCGTCGACTTGGCCGGGGCCGCGAGGGCGGGCTTCTTGCTGGGGCCGTCGATGAGGGGCATGTTGTCGGAGGGGGGGGGCTTGGCTAGAAGGGGTGGCCGTGTCAGCTTGCTTTCACGGTTGGGGGTTTCACTGCGGACAGATGCTCAGGTCGAAAAGGGGCGGACTGGCTGCCACGTACTGCCGTTTCTGCTGTTGACGAGCAGGGTGTAGGAGATGCTGCAGAGGCCGAGGAGCGCGACAAAGGGGAGGACCTTGATGCCGTTCTTGTCCTTGGGAGGCTGCGATGAGTAGGCGCGGCGCGAGGTCTGCTGGAGGGTGCGCAGAGACGAGCTGGCGAAGGGTGCAGAGCGGGGAGCTATCGTGGAGGACGCGATGCGGGATGCAGTGCAGGCAGTGGGCAGGCTGCGCCATAAGGTTCGCGGGGTTGCGTGCATTGTGAAATGGTCGGGGGTGATGACGTTGGGACGATTTGGGGGGTGAGGGTGTTGTCCTGCTGATGGGGGTCAGGCCTGATGCTGCTTCTGCTGTTGCACTGCTACTGTCAAGCCCGTCGTGTTCTGCTGATCCTCCAATGGCTTTGGTGTGTCGTGTCGTACTGCAGCTGTGCCAATGGCCAACTCTTTTTTTTTCGAGGAGGAAAAGGGTGAATTGGCACCGGGGGGGGTGTGGCCCCTCGAGGTAAAGGTAATTTGGCGATGCGTGTGCTAGGGAGCTCAGACCCTGCCTGGGAGCCCCTTGCCTATCGCGCTTTCACATGGTCTGGGCTCTCCAGGCTCTGGTCTGCGAGAGGATATCTATTGCCATTCCAGCTTGTTGAGTCCATTGATCGTGCTTTGCAAAGGCTCAAACGTCAAAAAAAAAAGATAACAAGAGTTCAGTTGG